TCTCTCGTTTTATTATTGTTATGAATTCTAGTAATACGTCAACTACCTTAAATCCCGGAAATAAACCCTCCTCGGTCATGACATTTAAATATAATGCTACACTCAGTAGGATTTTTATATTTATGTTCATAGTTGAAATTGAGGTATAATTTTACTTTTATGTACCATTCTTGTATGGTTTTTGAATCAAGATTACATTACCTTCATTAAGTGAATTGTGGAGCTTTTCTTTTTTTTCCTCTCTGCTCTGCAGTAGTCTGTATTGGCTAGAGATTGTTCTTTAAAAATTCGATTAAACCTAATAAGATCATTTGGGATCAATGACTATTTGAGGGTAGATGTTTTACTGCAGATTTAATTATTTAATGGGTATAATTGAATTTAGGTTTTCTATATTATTTTGAGTCATTTTGATAATTTATATTCTTTAAGAAAATCATCCATTTCATGTAACTTTTAATTTTGTGGGTAGAAAGTTAGCATTCTCGAGGTTTTTGTTTTATATCATTACTGCCTCTGCATTCATGTCCTCTCTTTTATTGTTTGTGCCTTTTTTCTTGATCAATTGCCCAAGGTTTGCCTATCTTATAAATCTTTTTAAAAATCACCTGTTAGTTTTTTTAATCCTTTTTCTTTTATTTTTCTATTTCATTATATTCTACAATAATCTTTTTTGTTTCTTTGTTTTACTGTTTGAATCTTCCATATCCTTTTTTTCATCCTGTTTTTCAGTCCTCTGAAATTAGTCATCTTGTTATTGTTTCATAAACAGGCTTGATTAGATTGGCCTGTGTTTCCCAGTTTTCTTGCTCACCCTGGCTTCTTGAATCCTGTCCTTTCCCACTAGGTTCAATGTGCTTCTTACAGAACTATATTATCCCTAAGTGTATCTTTGAGTGAGGACCTGTGAGTGGAAACTCTTGGCATTTGTCTGAAAATATCTTTATTTCACCCTTGCTTTTGAATGGTAATTAGCTGTGTATAGAAGTTAGGTTGGCAGTAATTTTCTCTGAGCACTTTGATGAAATCTGTAATCTACCTGTCTCTTTTTTGCTGAGGAGAAGTCTGTTTTCATCCTAATTGCTGTCCTTTCGCAGGTAACCTGTTTTTTCAGGATTTTGCTTGTCTCTTTGGTATTCTGCACTTTCACTCTAATCTGTATAGGTCTAAATTATTTTTTATTCATCAGGTTTGAGGCTCATTTAGCTTTTCTTAACCTGAGGGTTTTGTGTCTTTTAGCAATTCTGGAAAGATCTCAACTGTTTCTCTTTTTGAATATCGCTTCTATATATGCCCTTAACCCCATCATCTCTCAGCTTTTCAGGATCATCACTCCTTTGCTTCTCTCTCTTCTGCATCTCCAGTCTCTTCTACCTATTGTATCAATCTCATTGACAAGTCAACATGCCCTAACGTCTCCCATCTTTTATTAAAAAAAAAAAAAAAATCCTCCCAGGGCCCACCCCTTATTTCCCTGGAGCTATCTTTGTTGCTCTGCTGGACATCACCACCAAACTTTTTGACGAATTTGCCTACACATTTCTCTACTTCCGTGCCTCCCAGTTATCCTTCAGTTCCCTCGAGTATGACTTCTGCCCTCAACAATCCAGAGACTGCTCTTGCCAAGGTTGCCAGTGACTTCCATGTGTCTGAATCACAGTTCAACCCTCATTTAACTGGACCTCTTTCCAGCATTCAACCTGGTTGGCCACTCCTTCCCTAAAACACGCTTCACCTCTTGACTTCTGAAACACTTTACTTTCTTGGTTCTCTCCAAATGTTGGAGCACCATGGGCTTGGAATTGAGCTCTATTTTCCTCATTTTCTATTCTCTATTGCTAATAGGTTTTTTTATTCCATTCACACGATTTTAAATACCATTTACTTGTCACGGATGGCCAAATGTATACCTCCAGTTCCACTCCTCCTCTGAGTTATTGAATTGTGTGTGAATTCCTGCTTGACCATTAAACTTGGAATCTCAGCAGCATTTTAACTTAAACTGCTCAAAGCTGAATTCTTGAATTTCTCCCAAAAGAATGTCTTCCATATCTCAGCAAGTGGCGTCACTATCCACCCGGTTTCTAAAGCTACAATCTAGGAGTCACTGTTGATTCCTCTCTCCTTCAAATACCCACATTTATTCTACTGTCAGGTCCTTTAAATTCAATCTTCAAAAGAGAACTCATCCATTCACTTTCTATCTCTTCCTCCAACATCCTGGTCATGGCCTCTATCATTTCCCAACTAGAAACCACTACCCTGTTCCTGAATCTTTTCTGCTATTAACACTCTCGCTTCCATTTTCAACACAGCGGTCAGAACATCTTTTTTAAAAAATCATCTTCCTACTTGAAGTCCTTCAAGAACTTCCTATTGGACCTAGATTACAACCAAATCCACACTCATTAATAAAGCCTTCAAGGCCCTGTCCTACCTTCAACCTCATCCCAATTTCTCTCCCCCTCACTCTGGTGTTCTGGCCACCCTGGCCTTCTAGTCCCTCAGTCACACCAAGCTCTTTTGCTCCTGCAGGACCCCCGTAGATTCCTTCTGCCTGAAATGCACGCCTCAATGCCCCCACCAGACTGGCTCCTTCTCTTCCTTCAAGCAGCTTGAGGTCACCTTTCAAAAGATGACTTCTTGACCCTCATGGATAACACAGGGGCCTTTCTTAAATCTCTCTAGTAACAGCCTCATTTTTTCTTTTTTTTTTTTTTTTTTGCGGTACGCGGGCCTCTCACTGTTGTGGCCGCTCACGTTGCGGAGCACAGGCTCCGGACGCGCAGGCTCAGCGGCCATGTCTCACGCGCCCATCCGCTCCGCGGCATGTGGGATCTTCCCGGACTGCGGCACGAACCCGCGTCCCCTGCATCGGCAGGCGGACTCTCAACCACTGCGCCACCAGGGAAGCCCTCATTTATTCTTTTATAGCCCTTTCCGCACCTTTTCTCTTTTTTTTTTTTATTTTTTTGAGATATATTATTTACATATTATTTTATCGACCTTGCAGTTTCAACGGTATATTAGCAATCAACTTTGTTGCCATGATTAACCAGCAGTCCCTTTAGAACACTTCTAGTAAAATATTAAGAAACCTTTGATTGCTGAATTTGTAAAATGTTCAGCTTTCAGTAGGACACTTTACTGAGGAATTCTTTTAGTACCACATTTAATATGAATGGGCCTTTCAATGAATCATGGCATTTTGGCTCTGGGAGAATTCAAATGCTCCCTCGGATGGATTCTCTGCATTCCAGCAAGGGGTGCTTTGTCATATCTTAGTGTCATTTCCTTGCAGCACGATTCTCCATTTTAGTAAAAATAATTCTGAGAGGTTTTTTTCTCCCCCCCCCACCCCGATCATTTTTCAAAGGAGAAATTGTATAAGGGGGGCAGTTTGCATGTGACAAACTGAAATACCAAAAGACTATTATAACTTAGTTTTATTGCATAGAAACCGTGGTCAGAAGTTGCTCTTTTTGATGGGTTGATTGACTATTTTCTCTGCCTTGACAAATCTGTGAGTGCCATTAGGAGGGAACCAAGCTTGTTTCATTTGTCACTTTATGTATACCCAATTACTAGTATATATAAATAAATAAAGATCTCAAAGTGATGCCATTTTTTCTTAAGTAGAGCTCTGATGAACATCTTCCCAAATTGTGACCGTGGTTGTCATCCTGACTATACAGGCCTGTACAGGCCTCCCAGTCTCTTAAAAAAATAATATTGTCTGCATGTCTTTTATTTGTTAATGGAGGTTTAAAACTTTGAAGGTCCTTATAGGAGCCACACAGTCTCATAATATTTTAATTTTGTAAAAATTCAAGACCTCTTCACATAGATTGATATGCCCCCAAATAGACTGCCTGTGATGGTTTCTGGCTTACTTCAACCACATTTGCTTTCAAGGATTCCCCTAGCTCTGCTTCTTGCAGCTCATTGGTGCCCGGGAACATGTATTTTTGTTTTGTTTTATTTTTGTTTTAAATCATGACTTAATACATGGTCCTGTCACAGGTGGACCTGTACCTGAATAATGAGAGATAAGACCATCCTTACTTCATGATGTTCAAAATATTTAACAACTGACTTGGCCACCAACCAAGGAGGCTGGCACCTTGGCCAATCAGAAGGGACTTTCAACCTACACACACCCAGAGGTCACACCGGGGCCTACTGAATGCAGACACCTCTCTGGGGAAGGCAATTCTATAGACACTATTGGTAGCCTTCATTTTCAGCCAACTCCCTCACTTTTTTTTTTTTACGGTGTGCGGGCCTCTCACTGTTGTGGCCTCTCCCGTTGCGGAGCACAGGCTCCGGACACGCAGGCTCAGCGGCCATGGCTCACGGGCCTAGCCGCTCCGCGGCATGTGGGATCTTCCCGGACCGGGGCACGAACCCTCGTCCCCTGCATCGGCAGGCGGACTCTCAACCACTGCGCCACCAGGGAAGCCTGAACTCCCTCACTTTTTAAATGCCTCTTCTGAAAGTGGCTTAAAGCCTTGGAACCTTCTAATTTTCCCATAGTCATGTCTTATTTATACCTACCTGGATATTCTATAGATAGGGCCGCTTTGGTCAAAAGGCCACAGTAACTAAGGTCTGCCTTCCAGAACTTGCTGAGCTCAATGCAGGTTATAGCAACCAGCTCAGGCTCTCTTGGGTTTTTCCATACAGTGCCTTGTTTGGGGTAGGGAGAGTCTCATTCCTTAGCTGATGGCATGGCCCTGTCCTCTTACTGTTTCTCCACATTCCTTTCTGGCTCTGGTGTGGGGCATGGAGGCTCAGTGGAGGATTTTCAAAAATCAAAGCACATCTCTGTTTTTTCCAGGTCTGTTCACAACTCATCCCCACTGGAAAGACAACGCCCAGTGAGGGATGCTCACTCCCACTCAGGCCTTTGTTCCTTGGCGTCTGTTTGTTTCATGTCCAAGGCCACCTGCCTCCAGGTGACTGACTTCTCTAACGCTTTTCTTCGTCTTGGCTCACAGGTCCACACGTTCCGAGGCCCGCACTGGTGTGAATACTGCGCCAACTTCATGTGGGGGCTTATCGCCCAAGGAGTCCGATGCTCAGGTAGGCACGGAGCTTTCCTTCCCCTTCCATTTACATCAAGCGCCGCAATGATGAGCTGGAGGGCATCTCTCCAGAGCGGGGAAATAGGCCCAGATTAACTCAGAAGTCTAGCTTTCTGGAAGATTCAAGGCATCTCTGTGCTTAATGGAGAAACTCCTCTAGGTGTTTGCTAGAATGAAAAGGATTATCTCTGTTTATACAAGAAAAGAAAAAAATCCAGGGGAGTATATTTTCTTAGGCACCTACCTGCCATCCAAACTAGGTAGCTGTCCTTAAAAGAAAAAACTAAATCAATTCCAATGGAATTGCATAGATAGAAAAGTTACATTGGTTTCCCATCTTCTATTTATCATGCCATTTAGCCTCACCAGTGAACCTTCGGGGAGATACAGTTATTCTCCCCATTAAATAGATGAAGAAACTGAGCCTTAATGATCATCATTAATTTCCCCTGGCCACATAGTAGGTGGTGGAACATTGATTTGGCTCCAGAGCCCATCATGCCCAGTATTTTTCTGCCATCAGATTAGCAGTGAAAATACACACCTTGATTTGATATCACATATTTTCAAAGTGCTTTGAAACCCTAGGTGCTTTTCCACCTAGAACTAGACACACACACCCATTGCTAAGAGCACACAGCACACCTTATTAAGATACATCTAACAAAACAGCAAAGAATTGCCAAATTAATGTGTAACCAGGCTTCCTACTTCATCATGCCATGCTTTTTCTGGCGAACAGTTCCGGCCGGAAGCAAGGATAGCCTCCTGTGATACATTGACTGGGTTTCCACTGACAGCATGACTGATTTCTTTCTTGCTAGGGTATGATTTTAAAAAATAATTCTTATGAAGCTTTTAAAATAAGCTAATGACACTACATTAAGATGATCTGTTTCCCACAAATGAACTTATTTACAAAAAGAAACAGACTCACAGACACAGAAAACAAACTTACGTTTACCAAAGGGGAAAGGTGGCGGGGGAGATAAATTAGGAATTTGGGAGCAACGTATACACACTACTATATGTAAAATAGATAAACAAGAAGGACCTACTGTATAGCACAGAGAACTCTACTCAATACTCAATATTTTGTAATAACCTATATGGGAAAAGAATCTGAAAAAGATAGATACATAACTGATCACTTTGCTGTATACCTGAAACTAACACAACACTGTAAATCAACTATACTTCCATAAAAATTTAAAAAATAAAAATTAAAAATGATGATCTATTTCCCCATACTGCCCATTTTGGTTCACAGGATCATGGGACCTTAAATCCTTTCTCTGCCTGGAAAGGGCTATTTCAGCTTCTACTATATAGATACAGCAATCACCTATGGTGATACCTGGACAGGTCCAAGCGTGCTCATGTATGTCAATTCCTCTACCTGCCCCCATCCCAGATCCATGAGGCAAGCAGTAAATGTAGGTTTGGAGGCAGACTCTCCAGAAATGATCTAGATACCCTGATTACCACAAAAGTTACAAAGTATCTCACAGTTCAACCACTGAGAAAAGTGGTGGAATATCTGAATTACTCAGTGGTCATTAGTTCAACCTGTTCAGATTATACCTACCAAAAATATCCCTAATTGCTTCTATTATCCAATTTCAGCAGGAAACTGGTCCAAAGTCAATATTATGAGAACAAAACTCTGGGATTCAGATTAGCTGTGAACAGCAACTTGCTCTGGGATAAGAGAGTTTGGGTTTTTTGGGGGTTTTTTTCTGTGTTTGTTTTTTTTTTTAAATAAAACATAATTCTAAGGCTATGTTACTATTCTCCAATGGCCACTGTTTAACCTCATACTTCCTCTGAGCAGCAGGAGAACTGAAAACTGATCATTAAATGTTTGGAATATCCATCATTACCTCTCAACTCTCCATATTTTACATAATTTAAATATTTTTAAAATTAACTAGACTTTATTTATAGCATATAGAATTGTATTCGTTTGCAAAAACTGAATATTTTTATACTTGTTAGAAAACATCTTCATTTTAATGACATATCAGTATTTAACTCTACATAAAAACACTGTCATTTCAGACCTTAAAATGAAGTTTATAAAGAAATTAAAAATAGAATTATCCTATAATCCAGCAAGTCCACTTCTGGGTATATACCCAAAAGAACTGAAAGGAACAGACCTTTGTACACCCACGTTGATAGCAACATTGTTCACAACAGCCAAAAGGTAGAAACAACCCAAGTATCCATCAGTGGATGAATGGATAAACAAAATGTGGTATATACATAAAATGGAATATTATTCAGCCTTTAAATGGAATGTTCTTCAGGAAATTCTGTCATGGGCTACAATATGAATGAACCTTAAGGACATTATGCTAAGTGAAATAAGCCCGTCACAAAAGGACAGATACTGTGTGATTCCACTTCTATGAGGCATCTAACGTAGTCACATTCGTAGACGCAGAGGCAGAATGTGGTTGCCAGGGGCCGAGGGGAAGAGGGTCCAGGGAGTTACTGTTTTATGGGTACAAGTTTCAGCTTTGAAAGATGCAGAAAGCTTTGGAGATGGGTGGTGGTGGCTGCACACAGCGGGAAGGTACCTAACGCCCCTAAACTATACACTTAAAATGGCTACAATGGTGAATTTTACGTATATTTTACCACATTTCTAAAAAATTGTTTTAAATGAAGTTTGTAAGAATTCAGTGAGTAAAAATGACGAATGAAATAACTTAAGCATAGCTGGGCAGGTATCCTTATATTTTCTATCACCGTATGTGCTGTTTCTTCTATTTAACGCTCACGTAGTGTTCCCACACTTCAGACTTCACATATAGTAATTTATTTGATCCTCATGATAACCCTAGGAGTAGGTGCTATTATATCCAAACAAGAAAACCAGCCTATTCTATCTAGTTCAGTTCACCAACATCTGTATTCACTAACGAGATCTATCAAATGTTATTGAAGTTTACCTGAGCTTTGCTGAACTTCTCATGTTGATAAAGCTAAGATAATTAGAACTGGTTTTGTCTTTGGAGGGGGATAGACAGAACTCAGCCAGTAAACATGACATGAAAACCATGTAATGACAAAAATCGTTTTCTGATGATTTTACAAAAGTTTAGATCCTCTCAAATCCTTGGTGTAGTTAAGTGCTTTTATTTAAAGCAACTGATTACAATATTCATTATCGTGTGTGTATAATATGTATATAAAATATAAAAATGATATTATGCTTCTTTACACCTATAAAAACAATCAGTATTAGAAGGTACTTTGAATAGATACCAAATCAACTTTGAACATCTTCAGCATTAAATTTTTATTTTCCAGAACGTAGACTGTGCCTTGTTATTGTTAGAGAGATTCCATCAGTGGATGACAACCGCTAATAAGGCTTTTAATGGGCACATTGAACTTAAAAGCACCTTTTCAGCTTTGGATTTGATATGAGCTTTATAAATAATTAGTCTTATCCTCACATTACATGGCATTGTTCTAAATTGTAAACTCTCGGGTACTCCCACCGGTGGCCAGTTAGACAGTATTTCCACTCAACAGGTGTCAAAATAAGGCAGGTAGAAAGGAGAACGGCCTACTGAAACTGCCCAGCAAGGAGGACAGGGGTGGAAAGTATGGGCAGCTCTCCAGGAATGTGAAAGAGGATGCCAATGGTCATGGGTCTCTCAGACCAAAGATTAGAGATTCCTACAGAGACAGTCATCATGTCTTCCGTAAAAGGAGTGTCACGAACTTAAGGGAAACAACCTCGCAAAAGTCCTAGGTGCCCTTTATGAGACACAATTTGCTCTGGGAATCCAAACCCAAAAGCCCTCATATGGACTCAAAGTTTCCAGTTCCAAAAGGGAAAAAAAACATACAAACAACCTGGCTAATTACCAAAACTATCTCCATGAGATGTTCTATTCTTATGGTCCAGCCACAGAGAAGGCTTACTGAGAAAAATGGAATTATATAAGTTTCATGAGTAAAGATAGATTTCATACTCATCTGTGGACAGCATCACCTCTAAGTGGGATGGATGTTTCAGAGAGATATAGCAAACTCCGGGTGTTTTCATTTTTATTTTTGGTAACATATAATTTGTGTTGAGCTTTGACAAAAGGGCCAGGCAAGCGTAATGTGGCTTCTTTGTTTACAGACTGTGGATTGAACGTACACAAACAGTGTTCCAAGCATGTTCCCAATGACTGCCAACCTGATCTCAAGAGGATCAAGAAGGTGTACTGTTGTGACCTGACAACACTCGTGAAGGCTCACAACATGCAGAGACCCATGGTGGTAGACATATGCATTCGGGAAATTGAAGCAAGAGGTTTGGAAAAAAAACACCTGCTTATTATAGTGATTTTATTTTTACTGTTGTCAAGGAGACTTTCTTATAATTGTTAAATTGACTCTCCAGTACTGATCTTGGGGAAATGGTCTGCCCAGGCCCATGCACGCGTGCATGCATGCACACATGCTAAATCCAACCAACGACATCAATTTCTGTGTCACACATAAATCATGCATGTACGCATTTAACATACACTTGCTAAGCATTTAGCATGTGCTACACACTGGGGATATAAAAGTCACAGTTCACACCTTCAGGAAATTCATAGCATAATATGCAGAATCAGGGGTTGGGGGCAAATAAATAAATGCTGTGAGTACATATATTCAAAGCACTATTTAAAAAAACCACGGAGTCACAGAGGAAAACATTTTAATCTTATCTGAGGAGAGTTCAGAAAGGGTTTATGGCCGAGGTGAGGTTTGAATCGAGTCTTTGAAAGTGCTTCTATTAAATAAGTAAAGAAATTTTTGGTCAACACATATATTTTCTACCATATAGAAATTCACTCCTAGTATTGGTTCTGTTTATTTCAAAGAGGAGAGTTAAAAAATTGAAAAGATCTATTCATTGAAAATTGAGAAGGCAAGGAAGATAGAAACATTTCAAAGAAGAGATTCTTTATATTATGCTTGAGTCATCTTTCCTTTATTTGTGTTTCGGCCACTTTTCAGTATCAAAATGCTCAGTGATATGGTGGATAGAGTCTGGTTAGGGAGAACTGGATTGTTGGATGTAATTTGGGTAATTGTAAAGGCTTTTACCATTGTTGCCATGTATTTACCCTGCTATAGTTGGTATCCATCATTGTGTCCAAGTTGGCTTAATATATTCTACAGGTATTTATGCATTCGCCAACCATCCCATTCTTTCCAAAACAAAGCAAAGGAGGATATTGTAACTTGTTATCCCAAAGCTTTTAGAGATAGGAAATTATTCCCTCTTCCATACAGGATGAAAACGATAGCTATTCTGTTCCCTTAAGACTTGCTCATTTCATCTCAAATTGTAAGAAATGCCTCCTGCCTTTTGACTGCTGTGTCTGTCAGAGCTGAATGGGAGCTTTGGAATCTGGTGAAGGTGTCGATGCAGGGGCTGAGCTGAGTACGAGTTGAGGGGGGTTCCCTGACTCTGGATGAGTGGCTGGGAAGAGCAGCCCTGGGTCCTGCTGTTTAGAGGACTCCGCGACCCCAAAGGGTCAGATCGTCAGCCTCTCCAGAGCCTGCAATCAGTACCTGTGCTTCTCTGAAGAAGCTGGGATCATCCCATAGGGATCCTCATCAGAGACTCCTAATAATTTGGGCAAAGTCACTACCACATCTGGTGTCTAATGTGTCCACGGGGAGCACAGCACTAAGCATGTCTAGTACAAGAGCTAGAATAGCGCAAGTGAGGAATTTATACAGAAGTCACAGCAAAGGGACTGGAGCTACAGGCATTAGGGGCCTGTGCATGTGAGCAGAACCAGAGGATGGGCTGGAAGAAATTCACGTGATGCTGCCATTCCCAGCTTCATTGCCACCACTGCCAACATCTTACCCTGTCTTCCACCCATAGCAAACTTCTTATTCTCCAAATGCTTCTACCACCACTTGTTTCTGCATGATATGGCAGAGTGAAAAGATCATGAACTTGAAGTTAGATTCCCAACCCCTTCTCATATTAGCTATAGTATGACCTTGGGCAAGTTACTTACTCCATTTGAATATCTGTTTTCTCATCTTTAAAGTAACAGAATCAGTTGTACCTCCTAAGGTAGTTATGAGGGTTAAAATGAGTTGATCCATATAAATGACCTAGTACAGGGCCCAACATAATAGGACTCAACTGTGTTATTTCTTTTGGTTTTTTCTTGGAATGACCAACTCCCCTAACTCCACCTCCAAATCTGTGTGTCTAACCAATGTACTTAACCCATAGCTTTCAATGCTGTCACAGAGACTCCAAATAATAGTGTCTTCAAAAAGCTAGAAATCTCTCTCTCTGGCAGCAGCCCAGGGCTCATGGAGCAGCTGCCCAGGAACAGGCACCCAGGCCCTGCAGGCTGTTGCTGTGTCATCCTTGAGTGCTGTCCTCACCTGCATGGTCCCAGATGGTTATCACCATCTCACCTGCATTCCAGCCAACAGCAAGAGGGCATACCCTTTCTCTTCAAGTTCATGACCCAGGCACTATACACATCACTTCTGCTCTCTCCACACTGGCCAGGAGTTAATGGCCTCTGCGGTGGATGTTGTTCTAAAAACCAACGGTTTTATCACAACAGAGGAAGTGGAGAACTAGTATTGGACGGGGAGCTGGCAGCCTCTGCTAACTCTGGCAAACTCCAGCCTGTCCTTCATGATGTCCTTTAAAGATAGCTCCTGAGTAAGACCCTCCCCATGGCCTATTCTGTCAAAAGGCAGTGTTAGTGTCCACTGCACTGTACTCCCCTGTGCCACTGTGTCCTTGCCTCTGTTGCCGTGCAGGTTACAACTGGACTGGAGCATGCTTACATGTACCACCAACTAGAACAGGATGACACCGGGCCCCATCTTGTGGGCCCATTCAGTAGATCGGTAGTGGCATCCTAGACAACTGTCCTGAGACGGATTCTGAAACTGAGTGGGGCTCAGTGGGAGAAAATGCTGAGGTCAATTAAGAATGTCTCCTCTGGTCACAGGAGAGAGGAGGGGTAGGATTTATGCCATGCATTTGTTGTCTCTGATGCAGACCCCATGTCAGCCCTTACATATGGCAGATAGTACATGTGAAAAACAGAAATGCATGTCAGTTATCAGGAGTTTGATAGAGTATACTGCAGCAGCAGTAGAAGCTATTTATTTGCTTATTTATTATTGCTGTAGCTATAGTTTGATAGCTAGTTTTTGACGTAAAAGGTCTGAAATCTTGTCCTCTATCCCTTCAGATACTTTGGAAATATCTTAACAAATCAATGAGATCTAGGAGCAGAACCCACATCTTTTTTCTTAGACTAAATATACAGTGATCAAGTTTCCAGAATCATTCAATAGAATTTTATTTTCCTGCATCCGTTTGTATGATCATTTATTTGAAGGTATACCAATCAAATCAATCATGTGTAGTTAAACATTTAACATATTGTCATGTTTATGATGAAACATATAAGGCTATAAAATCTGGATAGTTCCAGTAAAATCAGGATAATATGTACCACACACATGCATACTTGTATTGTGTACCTAGTACACTGCTACATGCAGTACGGCATATGGATTGAGATGCTGCTGCGAGGAAAATACTTTGCTGCAGTGAAATCACATCCAGCTGTCAGATGAACAAAGGAAGCAGGAGACCACGGTTGACGAGAATCTTGACCATGGGTTCACTTTGCAAAGCCAGGCAGGAGGAATACCAGATTGCTGAGGTCTCCACTGCCACACAAGCAAATGAAGACAGACTTGCACAGAAACCAAGATGGACAAGTTCAAGTTCTGACGTGACAGTATGTAATACATAAGAGCACTGACTGTATTTGCTCATTTCCTGATAGCGCGCAGTGTAGACAGGAAATCAGATTCTCTTTTAGATGCTTTAGGAAGCTAAAGTTAAAATCTGTCTGTCCCCTTTTTTTAACAGGACTAAAGTCAGAAGGGCTTTATAGAGTGTCCGGGTTTACTGAACACATCGAAGATGTCAAAATGGCATTTGACAGAGGTAGGCTTGCACGTTCTTGAGTGCCCAATGACTTATCCTTAGCATCCTCTCTTTTGGAACGAGATTTTACTCATAACGGAAATGGGTTTTTAGAGCTACTGAGAGCTGTCCTTTAGGAAGCCAAGGAGTAACGGTTTACAAATATCATAGTTCTCTGCTTCTCTGGGGAAAGTGTTTCTTTAAAAGTCGTGGACAGTTGACCATATGGGGAAGTGAGTTTAAAATACTACTTGAAAATGATCAGACAGCATTCGGTGCCATTAAGGTTCTTGACTTGGTTGCCCGACATTTATGGTCAGTTCACATGGCACCAGGGCACCTTCTGCATCCTCCATCTCAGATCCCTTTGATTTCTTCTCCCTGAGCTCCAAAGAAGAGAGCATAGGGATGGGGTACCCCTGGCAGTGAAGCAGGGGAAGTTTAGGAGGTAACTCCTTTTGTTCTTTGTGACTGTGCCACACGTCCTCTAGGCCATATGCTTTCTTAGGTCAGATATCATGAGCCAACTTGGGAACTTATTAAAAATACAGATCACCAGGGCCCACCCTGGGGACTCATTCAGGAAGCTGAGTGAGCCCAAGAATCTGTATATCTGTTGAATGATCCAAATACTTCTGGTACAGCCAATCAGAGATGGAACGTCTAGCCCACTAGCTAGGACCTGCACTCTGCAGAGTGGTAGACAAGGTCTCTGATGATCTAGCTGCCCTATCTGTCCAGGCTCATAGCAGTTCCTCCTGTCTGTATACTCTGTACCCCAGCAATACTGAAATACACCCTACCTCTTTTCACGAACAAGCACCTGGGCTCACGTTGCTCTGTCCATCTAGAATGCGTTCACATCTCTGCCTGGCAAGCACTTACCTATTCATCAGGTGTCAGCTCAAGTCTTTCCTCTGTCACGACTCCTCCCCAACCTCCCCAAGCTGACCTAAGAATTCCATTTCCTTTTCCTCTGCCCGCCCCCTTGTTTCCACGTCTCCAGCACAGCAGTCTTCTTATTTCCTTGTAATTGTTGAGTTGCAGGCCTGACTCCCAGTCTAACTAGAGTTATATTTGAAGGGAGTACAGTTGGCCTTCTGTATCTGCAGGTTCCATATCCATAGATTCAACCAATCTTGGATCAAAAAAATTTTTTTGAATTCCAGAAAGTTCCAAAAAGCAGAACTTGAACTTGCCACATGCTGGCAACTCTTTATGTAGCATTTACATTGTATTAGGTATTGTAAGTAATCTAGAGATGATTTAAAGTATACTGGAGGATGTGCATAGGTTATATGCACATACTAAGCCATTTTACATAAGAGACTTGAGCATCCTTGGATTATGGTGTCCACACAGTGGGAAGTTCCTGGAACCAATCCCCCTTGGATACTGAGGGACAACCGTATGTCTTTTCTTCTCTGATGCACTAGGGCTTAATAGTGCCTGGCACATGGTAGACTCTCAATAAATATTTGTTAAGTACATAAATAAGGGGATCAGATGGTATATCTGCTACACTCTTATTGTTTTCTGTACATTAGGAGCTTTTTTAATCCTCAGAACCAAATTTGCTGAGGCGTTTGTTCTTTCAATTCTCTGTATAAAGGAAAATGCTAATAATCCCTATATGATTGAAACATTTTTCTATCCAAAAAATTTTATAGACTGCAACAATTAAATTGGACTGGTATTTACTAATGGTAAAACAAAAAGTCAAAAAATGTCCTCAGAATGATTGTAAAAATAGTAAGAAATATAACATTACCTATACATGAGGGAAGGTTAAAGTTTCCCAGATTAAAGTCCTAGGGACTAGGGGAGAAATAATCAAGTGAAAAGAAACTTCAGGAAGCCTGAAAGAGACATTAGAAACTGAAGATATTCAACCCTTATTTTCTGTATGTGATCTTCAAATCCAAGTCCAAAGAATACTAAATAAGAGATTCTTGATTTTTTTTACTTCAAATTAGATTGTTATTCTGTTATGAACCTTGGTGTCTAGAATACAAATTACTGTGCTAGATTTCTATTTAGCAAATTACCAGGGGCTGGGACCCAAAGAACTATTTTAAGTCTATTTCACTACTTTTTTGGCTGCACTTACCCTCAGACCCAAAATCCCTCTCACCAAACTTCTTTTGTTACTTCCTGCATCTCAGTGTTATTAGAAGCCAAAGTAGTCAGCTGAAACTTGTAAAGGAGCATTCATTGTTAGATCTTTTTTTTCTTTCTGGGCATGCTTTAACTTGGTGAAATAAGGTCCTAATTAGGAATTGGATCATTGATTGTTTTTCAGATGGTGAAAAGGCCGATATATCTGCCAACATCTATCCAGACATAAACATCATCACTGGAGCCCTTAAACTGTATTTCAGAGACTTACCCATTCCTGTCATCACCTATGATACCTATTCCAAATTTATAGAAGCAGCAAGTAAGTACGGAGAACTAATTTTTTAATGGCACCAAAGTTTTAAGTGCAATGCTTTTGACTTCAAGAAAATTAAAACTCAGACCTGATTAAATTATTGCATGAGGATTTGCTTTGCCAAGCGAGAGCACAATGGTACAGTTAAAAGAAAACCAGGCGTAGTTCACCAGCTGAGTTGACCCAGTACTAAGCCAGCTGTACTCGGCTGAAGCTAGGTGCCAGGCAGTTCTGTCTCTCCCCATCGTTTCTCCTATGCTGGGAACCAGCACAGTCAGGCTTACTCTTATATGTTGAAAGCAGAATGTTCTGCAGCAAACAATCAGATGTTCTTCAATGAGGACTGTATAGATTAACTACTTTCATCTATTAGGCAGAATCCCATTGCTAATCAATTAAAGTCATACCCCAGGTTTTGCACGTTGATGCTGTTCAAAATTAGTAATAGGCCCAGAATATACTGTGTCAACTACTATACTAGGAACTCTCACCAATATCTTCTTGTTTAATCTTCCCATCTACCTGATGAATCACGTGCTCTAATCCCATTGTACAGAGGAGGAAAGCTAGGCTTGGAGAGCTGAGCTCACAGGTCCAGGGATGGCACGTCAGCTTTGGACTTCCATCAGTCCATAGCTGCTCATGCAGGGTTTGGCACTTGGGTCACCGCCGTCAGGAGAGAGAACCACAGTGTGTATGTGTGTGTTGGGGTGTGGGGGGAATTGCACTACACTTTTTCGAGGAGCATAGCGAGGAAGGGGAGATTTAGGTGCTAGAATGAATGACGTAGAAGTCAAGCACACCTCAAGGAACTTTTTATTAAAAAAATATATAACCTTTAAAGGTATGTGTTGCTAAATATAATAACAAGATACCTGATGGGGAGAGATGGGGGCAGGCTGGGATTAGTGCAAGGTGTACTTTCCAGATGAGCTGTGGCCCTACTCCCTGGTGAGAGCATTCTTTCCTGGGTCCTGGTGGTCTTGGGGGAGAAGGTTCTGGAAGCAGGGTGCCCTCTGCCCCAGGAGGAGTGACCAGGGGAGCTTTCTTTGAGTGGCTGCCAATACCTATCAGAGTCCTAAAAGGCAGAAGCATGCATGCTTCCTCCCATTGTTAATATACCTACTACCTACTTCCTAACCTGGACGGCACACTGGGCTTAACCGTGCCAACATTCTGGTGAAAAGTGCCATCAGTGCAGACTGAGCTGCCTGGCTCACCTGCCGGTGCCCTCGCATTGTAGAGTGTGTTCCGTCATGGAAGCCTGCCACGAAAAGAGCTGGTAGACAGCTTCAAGAGAACACTCCCAGGTGTGGTCCAATTTAAACTAAAGCTGGGGATAGTGAGTTTTCTAGCAAATCCAGTGTTCAGAAGATGGGCAAAACACAGTCGGTGCATACGCCACCAGCAAGCATCCGCAGGGCTGCAGGTTTCTGGAGGGCAAGGAGCGTGGGCAGCCTCCTGCCACACAGCCAGTGGACGTTCAACACGCACGTGGTTCCCAGCCTCAAAGCCTTTTCTGGAATACGGCAAGACACGGAACACATCGATTACTTTAAGTGAAATGTTAGTAGACTGCCCCTTTTTCTGCAACCTGAACAAACCAAACTTCTTGTTACTTCCCTGAAAACTTTAATGTTTCAACACTGCATGAATATTCATTACGTGTGATCTTCACAGAAATCTCCAGTGCGGATGAGAGGCTGGAAGCGGTCCACGAAGTGCTGATGCTGCTTCCTCCTGCCCACTATGAGACCCTCCGGTACCTGATGATCCACCTAAAGAAGTAAGTTCACACCTCCTCGGCGCTGCTTCTGCAGTCCCTGCCTGCCCTGGGCAGTTAACGCATCAGGAAAAGTTCACAGCCTCCCCAACCCGCTGCACAGACAGACCGCCCTTCAGAGTGAATTAGGCCGCCTTCTCCAGTCCAGCCCCATTCATAACTGCCAGCCACTCACTCTGTGGCAGGGGCTGCTCCGTGCTCTTTAGATGTGTTATCTCTATGAGGGGGGTACTGTTAGATGATATTGCTGAAACCTGGGGAGGTTCAATAAGTGATGCAGAGAGATGCAGTAAAGCCAGGACTGAAACCCAGTCTGAGCCGTGGCCCTTACTGTGTCTTAACCATTTGCCTGCACTGCCTCCGCCTCTGCATCTTCCTCCCACACCAGCCTTGTGCTCTGTGTTCTGTTCGTCCTCCTGCTTATGAGAGTCCCAGATTCCTGAGGCTGCCTTCCTTCTGGACAAGCACATTCCCACTCTGATCTCTTGTTTTACTTGACATGTTAATTATCTATCACTGAGGGACAAATTGCCCCCAAACTTAGTGGCTTAAAACAATAACCATTTGTTATCGCGTAGTCTCTGTGATCAGGAATCCAGGTGGCTTCACTGGGTGCCTCTGGTTCAAGGTTTCTGATGAGGTTGCAGTCAAACTGACAGCCAGGCTACAACCTCCTCTGAGGCTTGAGTCGGGGAGCATCCACTTCCAAGGTCAGTCACATGGTGTTTGGCAGGATTCAGTTCTTCAGTGGCTATTAGACTGCAGGCCTCTCTTGCTGACTGTTCTCTGGAGGCCACCCTCAGTTCCCTGTCCTACGGGTCTCCCCATAGGCAGCTCACCCAAATGGCAGCTGGCCGCCCTTACAGCAAGCAAGCGCGAGCGCCCAAGATGAAAGATAGCCTTTCTGTAACCTAATCTCAGAAGTGATATCCCGTTGCTTTTGCTATACCCTATGTGCTAGAAGCAAGTCACTAGGTCTAGCCCGTGCTCTAGGGGAAGGGGTTACAAGGGTATGAATTCCAGGAGGCAGGGGTCACTGGGAACCATCTCAGAGGGTGCCTGCCACAGAGGGCTGCACACCAGGTTATCTGTGTGAGAGCACGCGAGACAGATGGAGATGGGTGTTCACAGGATACGAAGTCTCTGGTTCCAGACTCTTTTACCTAAACCATCGATCTCTTTCCTTCACTGTACTTGTATAGTGAAGTCAGTCAGTTGGTCTTTTAAAAAAAAATTGTCTATACCAACTTACAGATCCATTCAGTAAGTGAAAGGAAGCAAGTGGAGAACACTGTAGAAACAATAAGGTATTGAGGTTTTAACTCTTCTACCTTTAAAACATATAAACTCTTGCTCATATTCAACGTGATCAGGGGTGTAACATGTAGCTTAGAAGAGTCCCATTTTGACTAATTTATTTTTTTAAATTTATTTATTTTATTTATTTTTGGCTGCATTGGGTCTTTGTTGGTGCACGTGGGCTTTCTCCAGTTGCGGAGAATGGGGGCCACTCTTCGTGGCGGTCTGCGGGCTTCTCATTGCAGTGGCTTCTCTTGTTGTGGAGCACAGGGTGTAGGCGTGCGGGCTTCAGTAGTTGTGGCACGTGGGCTCAGTAGTTGTGACTCGTGGGCTCTAGAGCGCAGGCTCAGTAGTTGTGGCGCACGGGCTTAGTTGCTCCGCGGCATGTGGGATCTTCCCGGACCAGGGATTGAACCCATGATCCCTGCATTGGCAGGTGGATTCTTAACCACCGCACCACCAGGGAAGTCCCTGATTAATTTATTGAATTTAAGAGTACAAGTAATTTTGGGATTAAAAAAAGACTTGTATGACAGCATGGCTTTTAAATAGCTCTAAGTTATTTCTTTCAGTGCCCAACTGTTACACTTTGGAAGGCAAAGTATCATTATCAGGAGAAATGCTGACGTGCCAATTATTTAGTATTTTTACTATGGTGGGTTTGCTAGCCATCTTGTTTGGTCAGGTGTGGTGCCTGACATAGTGGGGAAATACGAGCACTTTGAAAGTGAAGTATGTCTTCTTTCTTACCTCCCTCTTAACTTTGCAAGGTGAAGGTAATGCAAGCTGAATTACCCTTCCTAAAATAATGCTAAATGGCTAGTCTTAATTAGCTTCAAGAGAATAAACACAAAGGGATGGCTTTCTGTGCAAAACCTAAGTTAATCCTATTTTGCTCTTCTTTGGAGAATGTAATCCTTTTTAGATCTGTTAGAAACATCCTAAAACCTAAATCCTTAAACCAAAATATCAGCGAGATCATAGTTTTATTCTACTTGGAAGGTATTAAGCCAACTTTGGAGTTTGAACTTCATCTTTTAAAGGCTTTGCAGTTCTTGAACATGGATGTTGAAATGATGATTATCTTTTTTTTTTAATATTTATTGTAGTTTTTTAAAACATCTTTATTGGAGTATAATTGCTTTACAATGGTGTGTTAGTTTCTGCTGTATAACAAAGTGAATCAGTTTTACATATACATATGTTCCCATATCTCTTCCCTCTTGCGTCTCCCTCCCTCCCAACCTCCCTATCCCACCCCTCTAGGTGGTCACAAAGCACTGAGCTGATCTCCCTGTGCTATGCGGCTGCTTCCCACTAGCTATCTATTTTACATTTGGTAGTGTATATATGTCCATGCCACTCTCTCACTTTGTCACAGCTTACCCTTCCCCCTCCCTATATCCTCAAGCCCATTCTCTAGTAGGTCTGTGTCTTTATTCCTGTCTTAAACCTAGGTTCTTCATGACATTTTTTTCTTTTTCTTAAATTCCATATATATGTGTTAGCATACAGTATTTGTCTTACTCTTTCTGACTTACTTCACTCTGTATGACAGACTCTAGGTCCATCCACCTCATTACAAATAGCTCAGTTTTGTTTCTTTTTATGGCTGAGTAATATTCCATTGTATATATGTGCCACATCTTCTTTATCCATTCATCCGATGATGGACACTTAGGTTGTTTCCATCTCCAGGCTATTGTAAATAGAGCTGCAATGAACATTTTGGTACATGACTCTTTTTGAATTATGGTTTTCTCAGGGTATATGCCCAGTAGTGGGACTGCTGGGTCATATGGTAGTTCTATTTGTAGTTTTATAAGGAACCTCCATACTGTTCTCCATAGTGGCTGTACCAATTCACATTCCCACCAGCAGTGCAAGAGTGTTACCTTTTCTCCACACCCTCTCCAGCATTTATTGTTTCTAGATTTTTTAATGATGGCCATTCTGACTGGTGTGATATGATATCTCATTGTAGTTTTGATTTGCATTTCTCTAACGATTAATGATGTTGAGCATTCTTTCATGTGTTTGTTGGCAGTCTGTATATCTTCTTTGGAGAAATGCCTATTTAGGTCTTCTGCCCATTTTTGGATTGGGTTGTTTGTTTTTTGTTATTGACCTGCATGAGCTGCTTGTAAATCTTGGAGGTTAGTCCTTTGTCAGTTGCTTCATTTGCAAATATTTTCTTCCATTCTGACAGTCGTCTTCTGGTCTCGTTTATGGTTTCCCTTGCTGTGCAAAAGCTTTGAAGTTTCATTAGGTCCCATTTGTTTATTTTTGTTTTTATTTCCATTTCTCTAGGAGGTGGGTCAAAAAGGACCTTGCTGTGATTTATGTCATAGAGTGTCCTGTCTATGTTTTCCTCTAAGAGTTTCATAGTTTCTGGCCTTACATTTAGGTCTTTAATCCATTTTGAGCTTATTTTTGTGTATGGTGTTAGGGAGTGATTTAATTTCATACCTTTACATGTACCTGTCCAGTTTTCCCAGCACCACTTATTGAACAGGCTGTCCTTTCTCCACTGTACATTCCTGCCTCCTTTATCAAAGATAAGGTGACCATATGTGCGTGGGTTTACCTCTGGGCTTTCTATCCTGTTGCATTGATCTATATTTCTGTTTTTGTGCCAGTACCATAGTGTCTTGATTACTGTAGCTTTGTAGTATAGTCTGAAGTCAGGAAGCCTGATTCCCCCAGCTCCGTTTTTCGTTCTCAAGATTGCTTTGGCTATTCGGGGTCTTTGGTGTTTCCATACAAATTGTGAAATTTTTTGTTCTAGTTTTGTGTAAAATGCCAGTGGTAGTTTGATAGGGATTGCATTGAATCTGTAGATTGCTTTGGGTAGTAGAGTCATTTTCACAATGTTGATTCTTCCAATCCAAGAACATGGTATATCTCTCTATCTATTAAAACCAAGATACTTTATTCTATTTGTTGCGGTGGTAAATGGGAGTTTTCTTGATTTCACTTTCAGATATTTCATCATTAGTGTATAGGAATGCCAGAGATTTCTGTGCATTAATTTTGTATCCTGCTACTTTACCAAATTCATTGATGAGCTCTAGTAGTTTTCTGGTAGCATCTTTAGGATTCTCTATGTGTAGTATCATGTCATCTGCAAACAGTGACAGCTTTACTTCTTCTTTTCCGATTTGGATTCCTTTTATTTCCTTTTCTTCTCTGATTGCTGTGGCTAAAACTTCCAAAACTATGTTGAATAAGAGTGGTGAGAGTGGGCAACCTTGTCTTGTTCCTGATCTTAGTGGAAATGCTTTCAGTTTTTCACCATTGAGGACGATGTTGGCTGTGGGTTTGTCACATATGACCTTTATTATGTTGAGGAAAGTTCCCTCTATGCCTACTTTCTGCAGGGTTTTTAACATAAATGGGTGTTGAATTTTTTCGAAAGCTTTCTCTGCATCTATTGAGATGATCATATGGTTTTTCTCCATCAGTTTGTTAATATGGTGTATCACGTTGATTGATTTGCGTATATTGAAGAATCCTTGCATTCATGTAATAAACCCCACTTGATCATGGTGTATGGTCCGTTTAATGTGCTGTTGGATTCTGTTTGCTAGTATTTTGTTGAGGATTTTTGCATCTATGTTCATCCGTGATATTGGCCTGTAGTTTTCTTTCTTTGTGACATCCTTGTCTGGTTTTGATACCAGGGTGATGGTGGCCTCGTAGAA